TGGCACAAAACCTTAGAATACCACGAACATCGATACAAAATATTCTTCATGAAGAAGGTTATCATGCCTATCATGTTCAAAGAGTTCAAGCGTTGATGCCTTCAGATTACCAGTTAAGAGTGGATTTCTGCGAGACAATGCTGCGAAGACAACGAGAGGATCCCGATTTTTTTGATAAAATTTTATGGACTGACGAGTCACGTTTTGAAAGAACAGGGATATTCAATATCCATAATTTACATACTTGGGCTGTTGAAAACCCCCACCACTCAAGGCCGTCGACATTTCAACACCGTTTTAGTGTGAACATGTGGTCAGGAATATTCAATATGGAATTTATCGGTCCATTTGAACTGCCGTCAAGGTTGGATTCGGTAGCCTACAAAAGCTTCCTTGAAAATAGCCTACCATTATTGCTGGAAGATTCAAGCCTGGAAGCCAGACGGAACATGGTGTTCCAGAATGATGGTGCACCATGCCACAACGCAACGATCGTGCGAAACTACTTAAACGAAAGGTTCCCAGACAGATGGATCGGACGAAACGGACCGATACGATGGCCTCCACGCTCCCCTGACCTCAACCCCATTGATTTTTTTGTTTGGGGATATTTTAAAGACATAACATTCGCCCAAGAATGTGCAAATGAAAATTCATTGAGGAACAAAATTCAAGAAGCGACACATGTGTTGAAAAACAACACACAAGCATTTGGAGATTTAAAACAAAATTTCATACGTAGGTGTACACTGTGCATTTCTGTTAGAGGCAGACACTTTGAAAACCTCTTGTAAATAACATAAATGAATAATAATCTGCTGTTCAGTAAAAATCAAACGTGTTTTTGTGGTTTTTGCAAATTTTTTTTCCGAAACTAACAATTTCTATTGAGCAGAGGGTTATCCAATTTTGGGTTCGGTTCTATTTGAGCCACAATTACGGTAGCATGTAGTAAAGCTAGGTTGATGAAATTTTTACGGTAAATAGCTGATACCGTAAGGAAGTTTTTAAGATACTTACGAATAGTAAGAACATGTTTTTTCAATTTTTTATAAACGTTCAAAGTTGTTGCACTTTTTTACTTTTTTGTTATGTTCGAAGATTTTGAAAAAAATTAAAAAGTAGTATTAGTTACATGACTTGAATGATTATATGATAGTTAAGCCTTAGGTCTTAGCTACATAATCGTGAAAAAAGCAGGCATTTATCACAATTATTAACGAAGTTATGGTAAAAATAAACACAGAACTCAAAAATTCTCGAAAAATCCGAAAAAAAATCATAACTCCTAAACTAAACAAAATCGGACCATATATATGGGGGTGATTTGGGTTCCTCTCGATGTGGGGAATCTAATTTTTTTTTATGACGTCACGTGTTTGGCCACCCTGTATACCGCCCGTTGTGCTCCACCTCTTCTAACCACGTACCACCGATACATGCGAGCAGCTGCTCGTGCATTTCCTAGGGCAGCACCATAATAGTGATGCATTCCCGCATAATCTCGCGGAGAATATGACGTGATTCTACTCAGATGCCAAATGTTGGACCATTACCTGACTTAGTAATTTCGGTCGGACCGAAGATTGAACGCTCCCACACCTGCAATGTCCAGTTGAATGCCCAAGTTCATTAAGCTGATTTGGGTATTTGCCCAAAAAATCTGCCATTTTACACACACACAGTATCACTCGCACTGCTAAGACGAATCTAACAGTACCTCATATGTCAAAATCAATCAAGTCGTTTGGACTGTAGCTCGTAAAATAGAATTTCTTATTTACATCTATACATACCCACCTGCGTCAAACATACAGATTTTTTTACTTATCGTAGCAAGCTGAAATTTTCACGGTTTATTCTACAAGGATTGAAATAGTTTCTACACTAAAATAAATAATGAAATACAACCTCAATTTTTTTAGCGCCCTCCAAAGTTGAGAGATGGAAGAGATTTTTCACAAAAAATGAATTTAAGATTTTTTGCGTTGATTTCTAATTAGCTCTATTAAAAGGTGACATAACCATTGCTAAAACTAACCATTTAGCTCATTCCGAAAAAAAAATCATAGCCCTAAACCTAATGGTTTAGTTATAATTGCGATTGAAAGTTCATTATCCCGTTTTTCCCAATTTCACAAAATTGCAAATATTTCCTGAACTATGAAATTTCGGACCACACATAGCGGTTCATTCGATATGTTTTGAGGCCCTCTATCATCTGTTTTCCGTTGATCCACTACTATCTTTATACTCTGTATAGTGTAATCGCTAATTCTTTTATCCGCCAAAATCGGTGAAAAGAAGTACAAGATCTGTAAATTAAGTGATGAGCCTGACAACGTAGCGTTCAGTCTGGGAACACTCGGAGGGGAGACAGAGGAACATGTAATCCGCCATTAATACAAGTTTGAACTCGATCAAGTCATGTATAAAAGTTTTTTCTATTGTGTTCTAAAAATGAAATCAATTTCAATCACAGTGCAAGGAAACTCTCGCTAATCAGGTCGCCGCAGATTGTTTTGTGAAGAGCCCAGGTTTTTCGATAGTTTAAGGGATTTTCAGATGAGAGAGAGTCGATTGACGATGAACCACGAAGCGAGAGGCCTTCATCGTCAAGTACCAATGAAAATATCGACAGAATCCGGAATCTTGTGCATTCTGATCGTCGCTTTCCAGTCAGAATGATCGGAGATGATTTGAATTTGACTCACACCACCATTTATCAGATCAAGAACAACTGTCGATAAACGAGTTTTTGGACAATAGAAACATACCTGTATATGTGGCTCCTCAGCCTCCTTATTCGGCTGACTTGAGTCCTTGTGACTTTTTTCTTTTCCCGAAAGTAAAAAACTACCTCAAGGAACTCCTTTTTGGGCAGTCGAAAACATTCAAATAGCTGTAACCGACAAGCTTAAGGCTATTCCAGTATCGAAGTTTCAGCGCTGTGTGTGTGTGTGTGTGGCTTCAGAAAGAAGTTATTTTGAGGGTGACAATATAAAATTGTAATTAATTTGAATAAAAAAAAATCAGTCTTAATTTACAGATCTCGTATATTGGAGTGGAATACCCTATTTTCTCAAGACCTACGGTCAACTATGCAACCATCATCAGGGGCTGAAAATTATATTAAATTAGCAATATTTTTCAATTAATGGAGCAGAAAACTATAACTAAGCCATTGAGATCGTAGCTACATCTATGTTATAAAAAAATTGAACAAGTGTCTGACTTTTATATGAAAAAATATATGACACAAAGCACATATAATTGATATGTATTTAAAAACGTCAATGCTCAAATAATGAGAAATTAGCACAGCTTTTAAAACTCAACAACCTGTTATTCAAACCCAAGTGTGCATGCTACATCGAACTTCTTCTGGAAAAGCCTATCAGACTATAAAAATAAACTAAGTGACATATAAATCCGAACACCCAGTTTAAATGGTTTTATTTTAATAAAATTTTGTATAAGTACTTATTGAAGCATAATAAGTAAATGATAAAAATTTCAAAATGATTGCACTGCTTTAAAGCCCTTTGACCTTTAATAATGTGTGGATGCACCCTGATGTGCTACGCATTCTCCAACGCGCCTAGGCATGCTTCTGATCAGGTGGTCAATGTCCTCCTGTGGTATCTATTCCAGGCAACCACCAACTCCTCTCGAAGTGTTTCTAGAGTCTGAGGAGGACGTTGCAAATTGAGCAATCTCCTACCCATCATATCCCACACGTGCTCAATTATTGGGGATAAGTCGGGAGATCTTGGTGGCCATGGTAACAATGTGACATCATTATGTTGAAAGAAGTCTATTGTGACTCTTGCAACATGTGGTCGGGCATTATCTTGTTCGAAAGTTGGATCTGCCAAGGTGTCAAGATAGGGTAAAATATGGGGTTCTAGAACTTCGTGGATATAACGCTGCGCGTTCATGTTACCTCTGATGAAGATTAAAGGTGACCTGGAACCATAAGCTATAGCACCCCAAACCATAACTCCAACAGTGTGATGAACATGTCTTCAACAAAAAACTGTGGATTCCTCCTTTCACCACGTCGCCTTCTAACCCTGGCACGACCATCGTGCATGTCTAAACAAAATCGAGACTCGTCACTAAAGACAATACTGTTCCATTCCTGATCCCAGAGTGACCATTGTTTGCACCACTCAAGGCGATTACGTCGGTGTTCTCGAGTTAAAGGGAGGACCCAGTGTGGCCGGTATGAAAACAAGCCAAAACTTCTCATTCGTCGGTAAACACTTCGCATGCCAATAGGTCTTCCGTGTTCTGCAAACCATTCATTTGCAATGGACCTGGTAGTGGAGAAACGGTCCCTTAAGGCCAATAATCTTAGGCGGCGATCATCACGGTCTGTTGTTCTACGGCGGCGTTCAGTGCCCCTTGCTCTTTACGTACGGCCTTCTCGAAGCCATGCCTGACAACACCTAACCACAGTGTCTACACTTCTTTGCACTCTAAGTCCAGCTTCCCGAAGTCCCACTATACGCCTCCTATCAAACTCACTAAATTGACGAAATCGTACAGGTCTCCGTACTCTAGGCATCGTAACCGATCGTAAAGGATGTCAAGAACCAAAATCCGCCAACGTTGATTCTTTACTGCGGCTGAAGTATTCATTTTTAGAGCGTTAGTGAATTAAAAAAAGCAGTATAAAAACCGGAATGTCCAACTGATAAGGCTAAAAATTTTTTCACTTGTTATTTACAGTAAGATAAATACATTCACCAACTTTTATTAAAATAAAACCATTTAAACTGGGTGTTCGGATTTATATGTCACTTAGTATATAAACAAAATGTCACGTTTAGCATGATGTGTTGCCTAATATGCATCGTCCTATAGGAACTAATATAATTCTTGTAAATAACTTTTTTGTATATCTTCTATACGTATTAAGGGACAGGATAGCACGAAAGTGCAACTTACTGACATAATCAGCTAGTGAAAACTACTGTTTTTCTTCTTTTCAGGTATCAGTTCCCGCTCTATATCTCTTCACTGGAGAGCTCTATCCTACTATCCTGAGAAACGCTGGGGTAGGGGTATCAGTGATGTTTTCGCGTCTAGGCTCAATGATAGCACCTTTGATCATTTCCTTAGAGGAACTGTCTCCATTTCTTCCTCTCTTGGTGCTCGCGATAGCTTCAATTGCAGAAGCAATTCTTGTACTACCTTTGCCAGAAACTAAAGGAGCTAAACTACCGGAAACTATTGACGATTTGGATGACCCAAAAAGTGAAGTGGAAGAAAAGAAGGGTGAATACAGATCTGTATCTAAGGATTGAAATGTGGTAGTGAATGTCAATATTAAACCGCAGGTGGCATCTTGATGTCGGTGAATAAGCGCACAGTTGATTTGTATACACAACTGTACCAAATGGCTTGGATAGAGGTACAACAGATGTAGGTCTCTGATTATCTCACGTTGCGTTTTAAACTAGATTTATGCACTGCAATGACAAAAATCAACGATCTGTTTTGACTGACCTGTATCCTAAATTCGCATGTTTTCAGAAATACCTGGATTATAAATATTCGATCTGGGAATGTAGTCACCTTGCGCATCAATCATATCTACCCCAGCGGACATAAGTAAATGTTTTATTGTACAAGGCCGTGTACAAAACAACATTTATCTGGTCGGGTACAAAACAACATTTATCTGGTCGGGTACAAAACAACATTTATCTGGATACGTTGTTTTTTATCTCGCAGTCAGAAATGAAATTAATTTCTCTCATTAGAGTTGTCAAGAACATGAAAATTATTTCACATTAGTTTACTGACGAAAAAGGAGATTTACACCACTTTATGAACTAAAGTTATTCAAATGGAAATTAAAACAACGCGAGAATTGCATTGAAAATTACCCGTCGCCATATGACTTCAAAATGGGTATTAGAGGAGGGAGCTCAAAATCAGATTGTTCAGATTATTTAATTGAAAAAAAAAAACATGCCACATTTACTTTGTACTTAATGATAATATTTCACAGTTATAAATTATAATTAAATTAAATTGTGCAATTTAAACTAAGAACTTGTTTATAAGATAAAATCGCAATCAAACCTGTATCTATATGGGCCAATTTCATAGGAAACATTAATCCAAGATCATAAGCATATTTAGGTATTAAAATATATAAAAATCTAGAAATAATAAAAATTGCAGCACTGAGGAAAAGTTTTTTCTACTATCTATATCTATATATGAGATGCAATCTGCGCCTACGCTCTACTAAGGTGGGGTAGATGCCTAAACTATAATTGGCACAATGGAGTTTCAGACACAGTAAAGCCAATGCAGCCAGGGGCCTGCCTCAGAAAGATTCCGGCTTGAGTCACTTTTCGCTACTATAATGGAAAATATAAAGGAAATGGTACTTAGTGAGTTTTTAATTCAGAATATTTCTGTTTGAGAAAAATCTGATATGTTGTCCTGAATTTACTTAAGTTAAGTGCACATTAACGTCGTCTTTCCTCTACCTGATAAAATATTTGATTTTCAATTTGAGGTTTCGTCTCTGGTCCACAATCCTTAATCATAAATTTCGTTTCATCTTATGGACGTCAGATTAGTATATTGTATAGATATTGTTTCTAGTTTCGAATTCAACGATACAATGAAACAATATTGTAAGATATTGGAGTCATACGTCTTATAGCCGTATCGTCAGTCGTTTCTACAATTGTAGGACGCCTTTATGGCCTCCTTGATTTCCATAGTTTTCTACTGCTCCGTGTCAGCGCTCTATTTTGAGGTTATGTTACAAATATCTATTTGCATCAAATTGTTCAGGTTTTTGTTTTATATCACCTGTTGTATCAGTCTGAAATTACCTACAATTCAAAAAGAAAACATAGCTTCACAAAAGGAGAGCGTTGACGCTGACAACAGTAGAAATCTAGAAATATCCCATCCTTTTTGAAGGTTGTAAAAAACTATGATAATCAAGGAAGCCATAAAGGCGTCCTACAACTGTAGGAATAAAAGCGCATATACACTATTTGGGCGTCTGTTACATTTCAGATTGTCTGAAATGTATCAGACGCCCAAATACTATAGATATATGCGCTTTTATTGACCCCAATAGCTACGAGTTCAAGTATTCGTTTTTAATATATCTATTGGAAGATCAAATGACCTTCCAACATGAATGAATTTCTTGGCTTGTCGTCTGTGGGTGGATTATATCGTTAACAAATGTTCTTTCATTATGTAGTAAATGCATGCATTTCATCTATGTATTAGCTACCCATGTGCCTTTGTAAATGTATCTTCTGTTTGAAAATAAATGGAGAAAACAATGAAAGTCTGATTTTTCTTTGAATCTCTGTAGATGTCATTGTGCCGCATGAAGTGAATATGTATTCTTTCTTATTCTTATTAATCAATAATGTTATATCAACACTTCTTACCAACCACGGATGCATTAGCCCTTTGCGGCCTACTGGTCTCCTCGAATGGCCACCATTATTAATTTATAGTCTACTAGCCTAAACAGGCGGCTCCGCCCGCGCGGAGGTAGTGTGAAGTATAAGTCATTCGTTTTCCATTAGTGTGAAGGAGATCGGTTTCGGAGAAAGAAATGCAATATTCAAAGTAATGCAATAGTTGCTTCAACAATGGACAATTTTTAATCAATATTTTTAATGAATTGTATAAATGTTTCCAGTATTTTTATTTCTGATATACGATTCGTACTAGTTTCCTTGTAGTAGATGACCTGCTTTAATAGACTGTATTCCAAATGAGGTGGGCTGATAAGAGCCATTGTTCGCCCATCAGCGAATATATATTACATTTATATTTATGAAGAGTATACTCCATAACAAAGAAGAAAACATACTTATTTCAAATGAAAACTGAAATCCGTGGTATACATAAATCAAATAATTATCAGAGTGTTATATATGTTTATTAAGCAATAATAAAAGATAATCAGTTTTCATACACTTAATGTATTTTTTACTAATCTTCTTTTCGAGCGCGCGATTGATACGCTCACTGAACCCAAACAGATAAATACTCATATACAAGCTTATAATAAGTAGGCTCACTGAGCATTAAAGTTAATGTGGTTCATGGAACGCTTCGTAGCGAAGACATGATTCAAAAATCGAAAGAATAAATTGAATAATAGTCTGAAATTGAACTTTTTATTTTTATTTTCACAATAAAGGTGATCAAAAAAAGAGGATGGAAATTCAAGTCCTCAAGTTCGGGTATTAAAGGAAATTAACCTTTTTTATAATTTTATCGTAATAAGCGTCAGAAATCAGCAGTTTTCGGGATATTTGGGAATATTTTTTTATTTATTACAAAAACTCCTCACGCCTATTTCACGATCCTTAATCTGTTGGTCATGGCGCTCTGATAGCGCCTTATCTGCAGCGGTTCACCAGCTCCGGTGTGGTCAACTCGGATTATCAGATGGTAGAAGCACCTTAAAACCAATATAAGAACCAATGTCTCTTAATATCCCAGAAACTAGTATGCGAATTATTTTCGATTCTTTATGCAACGGAATTTTGATAGAGGTAGTTACTATCAGAAAAAGTTGATTTTTTGTTTTGATTTCAATTTCATTCTATTCTTTTTAATACCCTATATTTACTTCTATCTAAGGCCCGTATCGTCAGTCGTCCCTACAATTGTAGGGCGCGTTTATGGCCTCCTTGATTGTCAATCTGCTTTCTCTCCTTCAAAAATTTCTAGATTACACTTGTCCCGTGTCAGCGTCAGCGCTCTCCTATTGTGAAGATATATTTTCTTTTTAAATTGTAGGAAATTTCAGGCTGATAAAACATGATATAACTCAAAAGCAAGCACAATTTGATGCAAATAGATGTTTGTGACATAACCTCAAAATAGAGTTCTGACACGGAGGAGCAGAAAACTATGACAATCAAGAAGGTCATAAAGGCGCCCTACAATTATTGTAGGGACGATTGACGATACGAGCCTAAATATAGATTAAAGTCTATTAAAGTATTGTAAGTCCTATATAAAAAACGGCAAATCGTATGACAAATATAAAGAGACGAGAAAGATTAATTTATCGGCCTGCAACAGGTAGACTTAGGTGTGAGTTGGTGAGGTAATTCATTCAAAAACAATCAGAACGTGAAATACCTCGAAAATGCAAAATATCTTACTGCGATAAACACAAAATATATCTAATGTCTCATCTACACATTGGGCCAACACATTGAAGATCAACATTGGCGCCAACATGATATGCTATGCAGTGCTAGGGCGAGTAAATATTTGCCTAACGTGTGGGATAAGATACAGGGTGCGTTTGATAAATATTAAGAATGGCCGCCATGTGACTCTTTAGTCGTCATTTGATGCAAATTTTTCATCTATTATGCAAAGCATTACTAAGCACAAAAGAAATATTTGCTCCCAGTCTCAAAATAATGAATGTTGTCCTACAAGTTAAATGCGTATATAGGAGTTTAATTTGCCTCTAATATATCAAGTGATTTCTGCATAGATAAGATTCATGATCATTGTACACTACTGTTAATATCATCATAGTAACTAAATTTTGTGCCGTTCATCATTATTGATGTTGTGTGACACTGTTTCAGTTGTAGGTGAGACTAATATGAAAACAGAAGCTACTTCAGAAAACCGAGCTATCCAACTCGTGGATGCTAATCGAGTTTGTGACAGGTACTTTGCACAAGAAGATAATACCTATATGTTCACTGACTTTTTCATTTTTTTTTACTGTATTACCGCTGTAACATCTTATTTATAAGAATAATATTGTTGCATAACAAACAGATTTCACAAGTCGGGCGTCACTTAAAGTCTAACACCGCTCTTTGTTGAGCTTTTTGATTTCCTGTCAAATTGCAAACTTTACCTTTGGAGGTGTTACAGCTTCACTGATGATATAATAGATCTACTCGAAGAACATATTTATAAACCCTCGTAATGCAGCCCGATTTTAGTGTCGCCATATGAACAGTTGCTTATCTATACCATCCCAAAACGTTCTTCTTTTATCATAGGGGCGCTCAGGGGATGCCTTGCATATTCATAGGTATAGCATGTTTTAGTATTTGGGATTTTGAAGATTACCCTTCCCAAAATTTGCTATCACCCATGCTTAAAAATGTTTCAGGACTTATACACTCTCATAATATACAAGAACTTTCCTCCTGTCGAAGTCTAAACGAGCCCTCCTGGAAAAAATTCCTGCAGGTGCTCATAGGTGAAACAGTAACCTGGACTTATATCATTCAGTACATGTGGCAACCGGCGGTAATGTTCACCATACTCAGCCAATACGCAGTGGTCTAGTTTCTATACAGGGTGTTTCAGAAAGACGTGTCAGTATTCCTAGGGTAGAGAGTACATACAAAAACAACATAAAAAGTTTCTATAAATATGGGTCCAAAAATTCTCCCCTACTGAAATAAGAAATTATTTCTTTGGTGCGGGAAAATATACTAAATTAGGATTTCAGACGTTGAGTGAGCACATCATCAGCGATAAACAAGTTTCCAGGCCCAAACTAAATCAGGGACGTAGAAACTGGGGTACCTGGACCCCTATTAGGAAATATTTTTTACGCCATTGACCTCTTTACAGAAAAGAAGTGCATTTTATAAAAATTCCATTCAATTTTCCACAAATTTTGTCTCTTAAGGAATTTATGACAGATCGCTAGTTTTGGCGATATTTAGGTTTGGATATTTGAGGTAAAATCCTAAAATCTTCTTATGAAAAGGTTATTCCTCCCATATCCCGAAAACACCGCTAAGCTTGCTATTGGAATCTCTATATGGCATATGAAGAAAGCTATGGCACCTCATTACAACAGCAATTGAATAATATGAGTGTCATATCCTTAATAGCGTAGATGCTTACCATTCATTGGGTTTTGTCTATGCACAACTCTAGTTTTCATAGTATACTTCTGGTATTACCCATGTTAGATTCTTCTGTTTGTCTAAAATCAAAACTAGTAATTGTGGAAACAATCCATTTGAGTAAAATTCTTATTATTTTACTTCTGTAATTATCGGCCATTCTTTAGCATTTCGAATTAAGTGGGTTCAACAAA